CTGCACATCTTAAGTTATTGATATTTCTCCCACCAACTTTTCACTCCTCCTTTCTGAGCCTAGCCCAGTTTTTTATATATGCTCCGTGTACAGAGTAAATAAATAGGGAGATAAAATGCACCCTAGTTTGACGCCTTTGGCAATAGGAAACTATTTTCTTCCTCTACTTAAAACTATATTCTTCCCCCTAGTTAATTTAGGTGTAATTTGTTCTTTTTTTTTTTTTTTTTTTTTACCTTTTTAAAGAGAAAATTTTAGGTAATTGACTTAAAGCTTTTTACTTTTCCAATATAAGCATTAAAGCTATAAAGTTCCTTCCAGTCATTGATTTAGCTGAATCCCACAAATGTTGATATGTTTTCTATTACCATTCAGTTCAAAATATTTTCTAATTACTATAGTGATTTCTTTTTAGATCCGTGGGTTTTTTAGAAATGAGTTGTTAATTTCCAGATATTCAGGAGTTTTCTAGGTATATTTTCATCATTAATTATTTTTATTTTATTTATTTTTATTGTACTTTTTGTTACCATTTATCCCCCTTATACCCGCTTCCACTTCCACCCATGCCCTCCCCACTCGCACAATCACCACACCGCTGTCCATGTCCAGGAGCCCTTTTTCTTACTCCAATATGGTCAAATAACACAGTCTGTATGATTTTATCCTTTTAGATTTAATTCTTTCACTTTTTTTAGTATTGTTCAATTACAGTTGTCCCAGTTTCCCCCGCACTGCCCCCCTCTGTCCTGTCCGCCCCACACGCCCACTCTCTCAGCCACTCCCCGCGCTGTTGCCCATCACCGCAGGCCCTTTATGCATGTTCCTTGACTAGACCCTTCACCTTCTTTCCCCCGTTATCCCTCTACCCCCAACCCTCTGGTCACTGTTTCTTTTAATCCTTTTAGACCCACTTTGTGGTCCTGCACACTGTCTATGGGTGAATGTTCTATATGTACTTGAGGAAAATTATATTCTGCTCTTCCTGTGCGTCACATTGTGGTTATAGATGTCAGTTGGGTCAAACTGGTTGATACTGCTGTTCAAGTTTTCTATTATCCCTACTGATTTTCCTGCTGCTTATTTCATCAGTTATTAAAAGGTCAATGATAAAATCTATAATTGTAAAATTGTCTGCTTCTCCTCCCGGTTTTGCCAGTTCTGTTTCATGTTCTTGGAAACTCTATTACTAGGTACATAAACATTTAGGACTCATGGTCTTCTTGAGGAATATACCTTTTAATCATTTTTTCTGCTAATAATACTTGCCCTGAAGTTTACGTTGCCTGATACTAACATTAGCCACTGCAGTGTTATGATTATTATTTGATGTATATCTTTTCCATGTTTTAAACATGCCAGTCAAAGGTCATTTGCTGAAAAAACATGCTGGTGTTTATTTCTCTTTTTTCCTTTTAATCTAAGAGGAAAGGCACAAATCATAAATGTATGGCTCTATGAAATATTCACAAACAGCACACAGCCATGTAACCAGTCCAGATTAAGATACAGAATGTCCCTAACAGTCTCCCGTGTGTCCTCTTCTGGTCATCCCCACCTCTTCAAGAAAACTACAATCTGACTTCTCAACTGAGATTCAGATTTGAACATGCTAAGAAATTGAGTCTCCAATCAGCTGTTCCTTAGCAAGTTCAGTGCCTCTCCTGGCCCATGGAGCTACCGATTCGTTCTGTCACTTGCCCAGTCCACTTGTTTGGGTCTTTATATTTAAAATGAATTTCTTGTAGAAGCATATAATCGGACCTTGCTTTATTATTCAGTTGGACGATCTCTGTCTTTCATCTAAGTTTTAGGTCATGTCTATGCAACTATCCATGTAATTAGATTTAAGTCTACCATCTAGCTATTTTTCTTTATCCCATCTGTTTTCTGTTCCTTTTTTCCTATCTTCTTTTGTGAATGATTTTCTTTTCATTTTATTTCCACTCCAGATATTGTCATATTAGCTATATGTCAATATTTTGGGGGTGTTCAGGGTTTATAATAGGCATCTTTACAATATAATGCTCTACCTTCAAATAATACTATGTCTAGTCATGTATAATGTGAACCTTTAAACAATATACGAGGTCTTTCTGGAAAAAATCCTGCCATTTTTAATATAATGAGAATGGTTTGCACAACACCTATGTAACTTGGCAGCCAACGAGAGTGGACTGGAATATGCAGGTGTGAACAATGACTACTTCACTATACTGGCCAGGGGGGGCAGTAGGTGTCATAGAGTGAGCATGTGTACTGTGTGGCCATCACATTCAAAATGACTGAGCAAGCTGTAGAACAAAGCATCTACAACAAATTTTGTGTTAAGCTTGAACATTCCTCCTCAGAAACTATTCAGATGATTCAGAAGGTTTTCAGGGACGATGCAATGAGTACAGTGCAAATAAAATTGTGGCACAAACACTTCAACGATGGTTGAGAATATGCTGAAAGTGATCCACGTTCTGGAAGGCCTGCAACAGGCAGAACACCTGAGGATGTTGAATATGGACAAAGCTGATCTGGGGATTCCAGAAACTACTATGTCTGAGGATTTTGATGCAGGATCTTGGGATGAAATGTGCTGTGGGCAAAATTCATTCCATGGCTCCTGCTACCACAACAGAAGGAACGTCGAGCTGCAGTTGCTAATGACTTGATTCAAACCACTACCAATGAAACAGATTTCCTCAAGAAGGTCATAACTGTAGATGAGTTCCCAAGGTGCCTACTTTGAAGGGGACTAAGGCGTCATTTTCCTATGTACCACATTTCTTGTATCTTGTATCTTCTTTAATAAATGTCTCTATTTTTCACAGTACATGGCTGGATGTGGTCTGGACAGGTCAATGTCCATTTTCCTCAACCTTGCCCTACTGTTTTCATACATTTCACTTTCACATGTTATAATCCCTTCAATATGCTATTATTTATGCTTAAATAGTCCATTACAACCCTCAGCTAACATTATATTCAATGGAAAACAAGAAATGGATGTCTACTTTTGCCAGTGTTATTTAACATAGTATTGGAAGTCCTAGCCATAAGATTAAGACACAAGAAATAAAAGGCATACAAATTGGAGAGAAAGAAGTAAAATTATCTCTATTCACAAAGACATAATCTTGTATGTAGAAAACCCTAAGATTCCACACCAGAAAAAAAAAACCCCAAAAAACAAACACCTGTTCACGTTAATAAACAAATTTCAGTATACAAAATCAACACAAAAATCAATTCTATTTCTATACATTAGCAATGAACAATCTAAAAAGAAAGTTAACAATTCTATTTACAATAACATCAAAAAGAATAAAATACTTAGGAATAAATTTAACCAAGGGTGTGAAAGACACATGCAGTGAATCTATAAAACATTGCCAACAGAAATTAAAGAAAATGTAAATAAATGGAAAGACATCACATGTTCATGGAATGGATGACAATATGGTTAAGATGACAATAGCACCTGAACAATGTAATCCCTATAAAAACTACCATGGCATTTTTAGAAATTAAAAAAAAAATTCTAAAAATTCATATGAAATCTCAAAGTTTGCCAAATAGCCAAAACAATCTTGGGGAACTCACACTTCCTGCTTTTAAAACTTACTACAAAGCTATGCTAATAAAAACAGTGTGGTACTACCATAAGAGAGGCAGACGTATAGACAAATGGAATAGCATAGAGATCCCAGAAGCAAACCCTCTCATGTATGGCCAATTGATTTTTGATAAAGGTGCCAAGATCATTCAATGGGGAAAGAATAGTCTTTTAAACAATTAGTGCTGAGGAGACTAGATAATCACATGTAATACTAGATATCCAACTTTCAATAAAGTTGGGATCTTACTTTACACCACATACAAAAATTAACTCAACCCGATCAAAGATCTAAGCGTAAGAGCTAAAACTATGAAACTCTTAGAAGAAAACATGGGGGAAAGGCTTCAGGACATGGAATTATGTGATGATTTTTTGGGGGTTTGACACCAACAGCTAGAAAACGAGAAAGATTAATTGGATTGGACTTTTATCAAAATTAAAACCTTTTTTGTATTAAAAGTTACCATCAAGAGAGTGAAAAGACACACCAAATGGGAGAAAATATTGGAAAATCCTGTATCTGAGAAAGGATTAATATCAATACTAATCTAATCAGGCTTCTGGCCTTAATTTCCAATTTACAGAAAGATGGGGGATAGAAGAACAAGTTAAACACTAATATGACTGAAAAAAAGAGCCAACTCTAGAACATGAGAAATGCTAAAATGTAATTGGCCTGGTAGAGGTGTTGTGCAGGATTAGAAGAGACTAAACAGACAACAACAGACAATACATGAACCTCGACTAAGTCTTGGATTGTGGTGCGGGGAAGAGGAGAGAGCGTTAAAAGATATTAAGATAATTGAGAAAATGTGAGCCTATATGTTAAGTGCAGTAATAGTATTGTGGTTATGCAGGAAAGTGTACTTATATTAACAAATGCATACTGACATATTGAAAGTGTTATACATTTTGAAACTTACTATTAAATAATAAGTTTAGTGTAAAAAAAGCTGTGGGACACTAAATGTCACAACTTAAAGTGGTTAAAATGGTGAAGTTTTAACTTCATATTATGGGAATTATATCTCAAAAAATAAAAGTGAAAAAGAGCTGTAGGTTGCTGCCACCGGGGAGCTACCGCAGAGCTGCTTCAATGGCTCCGCACGGCGCCCTCTCACCAGCCTCGATGCCATGCATCTCCTGCGGTTATGCGACGCCATGACACCGGGTGTGGCGGTGTTCTCATACTGAGATAGAGTCAGAAGGGAGCACAGAATCCTTAGGCACAAGTGAAAGAAAAGTACGAATTTATCATAAAATTACTTTTATAAAATTTAATTGCTATTGTTAGTTTTAGAGTGTACAGGAGGAATGGTTGCTTGGCCAAAAATCAAGCACCGCCTCCACTGGTTGAGAAGGTCAAAAGCAAACCAAAGTGGCCACACACCTGGGTTGATGGACGGAGGCGGAGGAGGTGGGAGAGGCCGGCCTTCCTTAATGGCTAGGGTGCACTGTTTTGCTGATCGAATTGCATTAATGAAGTCTTCATGTTGTTGTCTCCAGTTAGCTTTCCTCACGGGGGGAGGCTATAAAAAAATAAAATAAAACCGACAGATGCTAACCTATACAATTTATTTCTCCATTATAATTTTTTTTTTCAGCTGGGATTTGGATTTCCAGGAAACAGGACTGAGAAAATTTGGAAAGGAAAGGAGAATTTGTTTTTTCAGAAGTACTGAAAGAGGTTTGGAAAATACAGTAATAAAATTCACAAGTGACAGTAGTGAGGGAAAACACAAACTAATAATCAGAAAAAAAAAGAAACTACAAAAATTTAAAGAAGATTTAAATGTAAGATTAAAAGTGACTTCCTTCCAAGTTAATTGCTAGATTTAATGCTACTCTAATGAAAGTATAAACAAGATTCTTTTTTGCCACATCTGGAAAGTATCTGAAATACATTTGGAAATCTTAGTGAGCATGATTAAAAAGAAAACAGTAAAGGTGGATTATACTTACATGACATTACACTGCTCTATCAAGTAAAAATGAAGCCAGAGAGCCAGAAAGAGGCTTTAACGTACTTAAGGATGTAATCAAGAACAATAAGGAAGATACTGATAATACCTTGGATTGAGGAGTGGTCCTCACAGTGAAAATGTCAGTGCCCTGCAATCTTTGTTTCAAGGAATTGAAAGGTTTACGTTTTTTGTTGAAGAGTTTTTTACATATTGGTCCATGCCTTTCCTAGAAAAGAAAGAACATGGATTAAAAGTTTTTTAAATGTACAATCACCGAGTTTGTAACGCTGCAGTGTACTCAGGCAGCTCCCACTACAGTGACTGAGTTGCACCTTCAGAGCCAAGTTCATTCTCTAACTCTCAAATCACAGCAGAGCAAATCCATCTGGCTCCCCTCACCCATGTTACACATAACTAGATATTATGTTTGGTCAAGGTCAAAGAAAGGCCTCCAGAGCTAGAGAGACTTCCTTCAAATTTGGTTTTATACATTTAACTACACCACTTGGGCTGTATGAACGGTCTTAAGCATTAAATAATGTTGAAAAGACAAACTTTGTAGTTGAAACTGAAATAAATATTCCTGATAATTGAGCTGTTTTTAGTTACTCACTGAAACCAACAAAGTTTTGTTGACTACTTCTTCTATTCTGTTTCCTGCCTTCACTGTTACTGAATTTCAAAAGCAAGTCATCCAGTAATAAAACAGGAAATTTGAGTCCCAACAACTTTAATATTCAGTTTTACCATTCTTTTGAAATAGCCCTTTGCATAGAGCAAGGGGAAACGTAGTTTCCTATCAATAGAACCTTCTCAGAAAAACACTTCTTACCATTTAGTATTTCAAAATTAGTTTAAATGGGCCACTTTTCTACATACAGCAAATTAAACCACTTAACTCCTGAATAGGAGCAGAGTGGTTTCAAAGAAATAGCTGAGAACATCTGCAAAAGACAACTGGAACAACCATAAAATAAATGAAGAACACACCAGTTCCATTTAACTTATAAAGACATTTTCCTTGAATTTACCCAAACATTCCACGTGATTAGTGAAGTCATTTATTTCAGAACAAACCTAAGCTTATCATATTCAATTTAAAAATATTACAGTATTTGTAAGACATTCAGCAGGGAAAGCATTCTTTATTCCAACCAGGAGTCCTTAGCATTTCTGGTATAAAAACCAGGGAACCAACACATATTGCTCTACCCATGTACCAGCTTTATGAAGTCTGTTACTGCACCACCATGAGATTATACCAACATCTTTGCCTTCCACTCTAAATCCCCTTCCTTGGTGGATATGACACTCATAACAGCTATCACTTACATGGTTGCTTTGTGCAGACCCAACAAAATACAAGCGCTATGAAAATCACCGTACCTGTCTATAAACAAGCCATATCTTTTTAAACTAAGGAAAAGAGAGATAGCAGATCCGTTGATCAGATGCTCTCTGTAGTCTAGAGATAGGCCTAGGAAATAAAACTCAAGAAGACCCAAGACGCACTTCACACTTAGTGATCCCTCTCAGAGGGCACCTCGTGGGTCTCAAACCTTTTCCCATGGGCGTGGCCTGGGCTGGCCAGGCAAGGGCCGCGCTCTGGGGGCTGCCAGGCCACCGGGCCCTGAGAGTTTCCCTTCCAGATTCAGGAAGCTCTGGCTGCAGTTAATTAAAATAACAGACACTTTGTTTTTGAAATTCCCTAGAGAAATAAAACCTACAACTACAACCTCATTTTGTAGTCTTCTGCCTCAAATGCAGTCAGGTCTGTAGTCCAAATCCTGGTAGCTCCGTGTGAGTCTCCGTGATCTAAAATGTCCCCACTAACAACTGAATTATCATCATTTTTTTAAAATCATTTTTTCTTGGGAATATTTTTATAACTTGGGGGTCTAATACCTGTTTGATTCCCTAACATTGAAATAAATAAGGCTTTATTTCACTTCATAGGCATCAATCAGGAAACATGATATGCAGTTAGCTTGAAATTAGTTTAACAATTAAATCTTGGAAAAGGCCTCACATCCATTTTGTTCAAATTACACAAAACCCCTGAAATTGGAGGTTTCTGTCTGTATACGTGGCAAAGCAGGAAACAGAGGGAGGTTAAAGGACTTGTCAGAATTAGTGACAAATTTGAGGCTAAAAGCCAAGTTTCCAGATGCTCTAAATTCAATGTTCATTCCTCTTGACTAGCTAATTTCCCTGGTGCTTTGGCCTTAAAATTTGGATTTCTGATGCTTATAGAAAAGGCGAAAGAGCCAAAAGCTCTCAAGAGACAATCGGCTGTGCCAAGATGCTTTCATCTGGCATTCTTTCCGTTCAGGGACCCAGTTTAAGGGGCTCCTCTATGAATGGGGCAGCATCGGGCAGCCTTGGTGTCCTCCCGGCCTGCCAGCCATAGGTTATGCACTGCTCTTCCCTTGCTTTCCCTCCACATCTGTCTTTAATCTTTGCCACTGCGGCCTCCTCACTAACTTGACAGTTCATTTAACTCCAATGAAACACATCTACAAAATGTCTTTATGTTTACCAGAACATCTGCTGCAAAGCGTCTTCCACAGACTTCACAGGGAAATAATTCCTGATTGCCATCTGTATAAGATCCAAGAGCACATTATGTTAGTTTCATGGAATTGCCTGCCTGAGAAGAAATGACTAACTGGAGACCTCAATAGCTTGATATCCTCACTCTTTATTTTTTTTTTCCCTCCCCACCAACTACTTCCTTCGCCTAGAAAGATCCTCTGTAAACTCACCCGTGTTTTTCTCTCACTTCACGAAACAGGTAAATTCCGTATCCTTCAGGCCACCAGTATATAGTTATAATGATTTAACATTTAATATAGTCTTAAATAAAGCACCTAATAGCTTTGCTTTAGACATAAGTACAAAGTTAATACCTTAGTATGAAGTCATAAATAATCCAATGGCGATGTCTTGACGGTTGCTACTAGAACGGAAGGTGTATGTGTGTGCTAAGTGAAAGTGTGCCCATTTATCAGGGACTGCATGAAAAGGTCGCCTAATCATTGGATTCAAGGTAAACTTTCCTGGGAATGGCTTTCTCTCTCCTGATAAACTCTCTTTGCTGTAAAAAAACTCCTACCTGTGAGGAAGGAAGTAGGAGAGACTGACAAAATGGACCAAGTAAACTGGTGGACATTTTTTTTTTTAATCCTCACCCGAGGATATGTTTTTATTGATGGTGGTGGGGTGGCAAGTAGAGAAATAGAGAGAGAGAGAGAGAAACATCAATCGGTTGCCTCAACCATGCATCTTAACTGGGGTTGAACTGGCAACGTAGGTTTGAACCTGCGACCTAAGTATGTGCAATGACTGGGAATCAAACCTGTAACCTTTTGGTATATTGGTCAATGCTCCAACCAACTGAGCCCCCCTGCGAGAGCAGAACTGGTAGACTTTCATAGAAATCAGGAAAGAGGTGCCATTACCATGAAGAAGCATATGAGAGCAATGAACATCATCCTAGGGATCGTGTTCAGGGTCAGACCTCCTGATGGGGACCGTGAATAATATTCTGTACTGGTATTTTAAATGCAGTGGTGAATGAGTGAAGGATTATAATCATAATATGTTTAACTACTAGCTGTTGTTTCTATTTTAATATTTAACCATATAAGTATTTTAAAAGTTAAATGAGAAATAAACGCAATATAAAAGGAAAAAAAAGCTGAAACCGTGCCCACCATGTCCCAGCGCCTCAGAGTACCTGACCCATAGTAAAATGCTCAATAAATACTTGCTGGATGCATGGGCCAAACAAGAATTGAGTTTCTACCACAGGACCAATCATTCATTCGATAAATATCTGCTACATGCAACTCTGTGGGGATACTGAGAGAAACCATACGTGGGTCCAGCATAGGAAAGGAAAGTATGCACATAAATTAAGTGAAGTTAGAGACGTGTCACGAGAAAAGGAAAACATTATGGAATTCTGAAAGAAAAAAAGAGTTCACTTCATATTACTTCCTTTCTGTTCATCTGGAGTTGAGTATATAAAGATTTAAAAAGCAGTTTGATCATGGAGGAGACTTTATATTAGAATAAAAATCTGGGCTTTTTTTCTATAAACAAGGGGAGCAATCAGAAACATTGAATAGGACCCCCTGGCTGGGTGGCTCAGATGGTTGGAGTATTGTCCTGTACACCAAAAGTTTGTGGGTTTGATTCCTGGTCGGGGCACATATCTAGGCTGTGGGTTCGATCCCCTCATTGGGGCACATAAGGGAGGTAACCAATTTCTCTCTCTCTCTAAAATCAGTAAACATGTGCTCAGGTAAGGATTTAAAAATTTAAAAAAAAAAAAAAGCAAACAATGAGTAGGAAGAACCTGAACTGCAGAAGGCTCATGTGACAGGAGGCAGGAGGGATGAATGGTTGGTGGGAAGAAAAGATAGGATTTTAGTTAAAAAGGTAAAGTTGTAGTCCTGATATGGAAAGGAAAGAGGAAACGGAAGTTGCTGAGGTCAAAGAATTGACAACATGACTAGATTAGTGGGGAATCAGGGAGCCAGGCGGTGGCAGAGAGAGCATGCCCCAGGACAGGGAAGATGGTAGGGCTGTGGATAGTAAAGGAGAATTTGAAAAGTAGGGCCCTCTTAGTTAGAAAAATGACCTCAGCTTTGGAAATACTGAGTTTGAAAAGGAGTCAGCCAGCCAGCAGGATGGAAAGGAGGGAGGTCAGGGCTAGAGACACAGATGGAGGCTTTGTTTGGAGAGTGATGTAAAGGCATGATACTGCCAGAGAAGAGGTCGTGGAAAGAGAAGTACAGGGATGATCTCGAGGGAACTCCGTACTTAAGGGCCAAGAAGATGATGATGATAAGCCAAAAGGAGAAGCAGGAGAGAACAGGGTCATGGAAACCAAGGGAAGACAGTTTTAAAAAGGAAGGCCTGATTAACAGGAATCAGATGGTAGCTCATTACACACATTGTTGATTTAAATAATTTCTTCTCACATCTGCCAGATGGTATTGTATTTGTAACACAGGTTATCCATTACAGCATACAGAAATACCACTTATCCTCTCTGTTCTGTGGCCTCTAGCTCTGTAAAACAGGGTCGTTTTTTGTTGTTTTTTTTTTTTTAGCAACGATAGCCTACTCCTCCACATACTTGCTTGTTAACAAAAACTACTCATTCTAATTATAAAACTGCTGCTTCGTCTAAAACACTAATGAAGATTTATTGTATAAATATTACTTTAACATTTTATACTGTTTTCCTGTTCCCCAAATGCTTTTCCTATGTAATCTCATGTGCTAATCACAGCAATCCTATGAGGCAGGGCTGGTATTATTATCATCATCATTATTATTATTAGATAAGAAAACAGGTTCAAGTTTAGGTGATTTCTCTAAGATCACAGGTAATAAGTGTAACACTGACACTTGAACCTGATGCAAGTACTAAGACTATTTATTCAACTGTCACCATAAATACAGGGTCTGGTAGGAGTGACGCCTGGGTAAGTGTATTTGGTGGGGTAATAATATAGGTATAATAATTTATAGTTTTAATTTGAACATTTCACCTAAGATTTCATATAGTATGTTTAAGTGTGACATTGTTATGTTACAGAATTATATGCTTATGACTTACAATAAAAGATTTTGTCATAAAAAAAAGGTGTGCTATTTGTGCTGGGCCCTGTGTATGTCAGTACTAACCTGCAAAACAAATGAGTAGTCTCTGGAGAGACAATAGACTTTGGCTGAAGTCAGTGAGTTTTAAAGAGTTCAGTGAATTTAAAATAATGATACAATATGATCCAATTGAAAAACTAAAATACATGGACTACCACATTCTGAATGACATTCAACTTGGAAGCTTGATTACAAGGAAAGAAAGGGAAAAAACCTGCCTAAGTCAGTTGAACCAAACACGGAGACTAATGAGGTCTGTAGTGTTTGTTACAGAACGCTAAATCACACGGAATGGATGATCACTAGAACCTTAAAGGAATTCTTTGAAATAACCAAAACACCCTTCGCTGGCTGAATGGTTAAGTAAACAGTTATGCATACCCTGGAATATTACTCATCTGTAAAAAGAGAAACTGTTGATACATGCAACAACCTGGATGAATCTCAATGCTGAGTAATAGAAGTCAATTTCAAAAGGTCACATATTGTATGATTCACTTGTATTACATTTTCAAAATGACAAGATTATGGAGTGATTGCCGAGAGGTAGGGATGATTGCGGAAGGAGATGTTGTGATTATACAGGGTAGAATGACGAAGACCTTCAGGTGATGGAATAGTTCTGGATATTGTGATGGTTACACACATATAAAATGGCACAGAATGATAAACACATGTATATTTCTTGGTTTTGATATTGTACCGTAGTTATTTAAGATAACACTTGGGGGAAACTGCATAGAGGGTACATAGGATCTCTTGTAAGATTGTGAAACTTTGTAAACTATAATTATGTCAAAATTAAAAGTTTTAAAAATATCTAGCAGTTGATAAATTGTGGCCTATGGTCCATATCTGGGGCTGCCTGTTTTTGAAGATAAATTTTAGTAGTAAAGAGTCATGCCCATTTATTTGTTTATATAATATATATTGCTGCTTTCACACTACAAAAGCAGAGTTGAGTAGTTGTAACAGAGACCATATGGCTTGCAAAGTCAAAAATTATACTCCTTGGCCTTTACAAAAAAAGATCAGTAAATTTGAATGTAGTAATTAAAAATGATCTTGGGAGAATGCATGGAAAATGCTAATGATACATTATATTTAAAAATAAAGACTATATAGATCTATGTATATATATCTGCAGTAATTACCTCTGAGTTATATGAATAAAAGTGATTCTTTTTCCCACATTTTCAATTTTTCTACAAAGATTATACATTACTCTTTTAAAAATCAGAATAAAAGATTAAAAAAAACCTTGAGCTCCTTTCCCCAGGTGCCAGCTGCCAGTTGGGTGCTCAGTCCTTCCGAGGAAGCTAAGGTTGCGCGAGGGTGAGGCCCTCACTTCCACAGGAGACAGACTAGCACCTACCCACAACGCGGCCTCCAGCGGGGAGTTCACGTGTAGGACCTCGGCCCTCATCCTGCATGACAATGCGGTGACCGTGACGGAGGCTAAGGTCAACGCCCTCATTAAAGCAGCCGGTGTAAATGTTGACCCTTTCTGCCCAGGCGTGTTTGCAAAGGCCCTGGCCAATGTCGACATCGGGGGCCTCCTGCTCGAGGTAGGGCCCCCGGCATGGCGGCCGCCCAGGCAGGGAAAGAAGGCTGTCAGCAGCCTGCCGGTCTCGTGGGCTTCGGGCTGTCTGACTTTTGCAACATGTTCAATAAAAAGCTAAACTCTGAAAAAAAACAAAACAAAACAAAACAAACCCTTTTGATAGAAAAGATCCTAAAACAATGAGTATCAATGTAACCACTGGTATCTTTCCCCCCTCCAACTGGAGTCTTAGTCGATTTTTAAAGTAGCTATTACCTTTCTACATTGGTTTATAATCGTAGAGAGTTTGAAAATGAGGAAAAGAAAGTGATCTGGAAGTGATCAACAGTTTTGTTTAGCATGCGAACAGTGAAAAATAAGCATTCAGAATCTCAGCTCAAAAATTTTATAAGAAGCCTGGAGAGGATTATAGCTGTAATGAAATTGGAAAAAATGTCTACTTCTGACTAGACATTCTCTTTCTCAGCTGGAAGAATGCTTTATAAAAACACCTACTAATTCACATTTCCTTATAAAGGCATGGTAGAGCAGGAAAAAGGAAGATGTTTTTTTCATTCCCTTGTTAGCAAGTCAAAGAACTCTTAAATCCTTTACAATCCAGAACATGCAAACATTAGCAATTTCGACATCTTCCAAGGCCATATGGCAAAGGTGGTGGCATACTGATCTCAACTTATTAACTTATCTCAGGAACATGACTTATGACACGAGAAAAGGAATGAATTAGGATGGCAGAGAGAACACCCCATCAATATTTGTTTTCTCCCAAAGCCCCAAAATACTAAAGTAAACGGACAGGACATAGAGAAACATAAGGACAGGGCAAAGGACAACAATAAAAAAAATCGGAATCTGGAAAGCTGATGGACATGGTAACCAGCTCAGAGGGCTTAAAGGCACAACAAAATCCACTTCCTGGGCAGACAGGAGGAAGCAGCGAGGACCACCCAGCCTGGCCCTGCAGAACCGTTCGAAGTGGCAGGAGCCCCAGTGCAGCACACGCATCTGGGGCTGAGGCGGGGTGGATGGGGAGGAAGAAGAGACTGCGAACATGTGGAGGGTCAGGCGGCAAGTCTCCTCAGAAGATTCTTCAATGGCCTCACTCACTCCAACGCCTGCTGGCTGATGGCCTCTCCCCACCTCGAGCACACGTCTACCCTCCAGCAAGGGCACAAGAGGAGGTCTGTGCAGGAGTGAACACGGGGCACAGCTGAAGGTGCGGGGAGGTAGATGTAGGTACGGGCACACCTGTGGCCGATTCTCAGTATTTGCGGTAGTTACAGTCCAGGACGTCTTTGTGAGCATTAAGGGAGAAAACCCTGGACTTAAGACGACAAGGGGAAACACAGGATTAGATTCCTGTGAGCCTCTGGTCGCAAATCATTACCCATCTATCCATACATACTTTGTTTTATGTTTTTCTGTTTAAAGACGCCTTATTTAAATAAAGATTGTTGATTCAGTAACACTGATGTCTTGGCCAACACTGTACAACTCGTGCCTGAATGCAGCTTATCTAACAGGCCCATTTTCTCCATAAGACATGTCACAGCCTTCCTGGGCTCAGAAACACCTGGTAAGTTCAACAGTGTGCTTGGGGGCCATTTGAAACACTGAAATCACCAAGAGAGAAGTGCAAAAACATGAAAAATGTGACACCCAGGAGACTGAAAAGGACACCTGTTTACAGTAGGAGCTGAAACTAGAAGGCAGAGCATCACTTTGTTCTGCCTGGGCTGGGACCACGCACATCAGGCTGCTCAACGTTTAACTGCACGTCTGTGAACGAATGGCCAAGCAAGCGCCGTGAGCTTCGCTTTGAGCATTATAACCTTTAGTGAGGAGACATATTTGCAAAGAGTGACTCCATGATTAATGAGAATTACCTGCGTATGTACACATACGCGCATATACACATACACGCATATGTATGCATACAATCTAGTGATTAATCTCATAAAGAGTGATGCTGAGAGCAGAGAATACCCCACACCTACCTTCCTCTACTTGACTCACAGGACCCTGCCTCTAGTCCCTCACTGCCAAGGCTGAATAAAGTCTCTGGGAATATATGACTATTCCATGAGGACAGAGCAGACACTGACATTGGGAAGATTCCCAAAGAGCTCATCCAGACCATCCTAATAAAGCTCAGCATCATCAGATGCTACTCATCTGTTTGCGAGTTCTCAGTGGTTTCTTCCTCCAACCTTAATCATGGCCAGAAATGAGTTCCTCAAGATCCGAGGACAGTATCTAGCATGTGAGCCCAAAACAAAGAAAAGCAATCTGAAGGAAAATTAAACTTCTTGGAAAGACTTACAGGAGACATCAAAACCTCAAAGCAAGGTTGAGAGATGAAATTAGGGAACTCTCCCAGAAAGTAAAGGAAAATGACACAGAAATGGGAGAGAAACATAAGCAAGTTGGAGTACCTGTCCAAAAGGTTCTACTCTGAATAATAGGGATTCAAGAGAGATAATGAGAAAACACAAAAAAGGAAATAAAAATAATTTTTAACCATTTCCAGAAGTGAGAAGACATGAGCCCCCTGGTTGAAAGGATGAAAATAGGTCTATAACAATAAACATTACCGTAAAATTTTCAAACAGTGGAGACTAGACATTCTACCAACTTAGAGGAAAAAAAAGTAACATACAAAGTATCAGGGATCGGAACGGTTTCAGTTCCAAAGAGCAAAAATGGAAATGGGACAAATCCTTTAAACTTCTAAGGAAAAATAATCTACAACCCAGAATGTTATACCCAGCCACACCATCCATCAAGTATGGAGGTAGAACACATATATTTCCGGACATGCCAAAGTTTCAAAAAGTTTACATCCCGTGTAACCTACAAGAATTACTAGAGGACGTGCTCCACAAGGTGAGCAAACAGGCAATTCAAGACGGGAGGGAGAAGGGAACCCCCAGGATAACAGCTAGGCACTAGAACAAGCAAGCTGGCAGTCCAGGGTGGAGGTGTGTGATCGAAGACACAGACATGTTGAAAACTGTCATGCCCCAAGATATTCAGCGTCTTTGTAAGTGGAGAACAGTTAGGTCCTCATGTATCTGGCTCCCATTGTTCCACGCTGGACTTGTTTGAGCATGTCCCAATGAAATGCTTGCTCTCTACTTCACATTCTGATGTCTCCATTAGCTGAGGATACTCATTTCACTCCACGGGAAGGTTCTACATTGATCTCTTGAGAGATGGAGGTAGGTGATCTTAGAGGCAGAAAATATAAACAAGCATACAACCTTCACAATGTTTCTACAGGAGAATGAGGATGCTCCAACTGTGGTGACCTTTATTCCTTAGGGTTCCCTTATCACTTCGCTCATCAACATCTCCACATGGAGCTCTTGCAAACTCTAGAAGCTGACATCAGACTCAGAGACTATTGTGCCCACCTTCTCAAGGATGCCTTCATCAAATGGTGGCAAACATTGCCTTCACAGAGCTAGATTTACACTTCTCAGGCGTTCAAAACGGAACAAAAGACTGTGTTTAGGGAACACCATATAAGTGAGGTAGTCTACACAGTACATAAGAGAAGAGTGGAATGAAATTGAGGATGGACCCACATGGGACCTGTATATTCTATTTCTTAACTTGAATAGTACATGTTCACTATAAATTCTCCCCTAAGTTTCACAATTAAAATGTGAGGCCATTACAATTGTTACCTTCTCCTGTGTTATCTGGAACAAACAAACAGGAAGAACATAGTAATGCCAACACACAGGAAGAAGCAACACAAGTACTGAAGTATTGACAATGTAACAGTAAAGTTACAAGATGCTAGACAGAATCCTGTCCTTCACTTCAGGTGATTTGATGACATCACAATGGAGGTGTGGATACAATTGTTTATCTCAGGTCATATAAAAATAATGGTCATTGTTTTTGATACTTGTTTTGATTTGTAAAATAACAGTTCTAAAATATATGAAAAAGTGACTTTATACCACTCGTGGTTGGTGCTTAGTCCTTAAGGTAAAGCAAGAAAACTCACTTTGCCCCCTGCCCTTCTTTCTCCTTGCTAATAGTAAGGCTCTTGCCCATTGTGCCCTCTAAGTTAAAGCAATTCTTCTCTGAAAAGTCTTTCCCAGCTATCCCTTCATGTTATATACTACTTACTGATCCTTTACCAAAAGCCAGGCACCATTCTAGCCCCTGGGGATCAAGTGGTAACACAAATTCCCTGCCCCCAGTTTTAGCGAGACTGAAAAAATCTCTCAGATGCCAATAGGTAAGATGAAAAACATAAAGCAGGAAGGAGCATGAAGAATACAGGGGAGGGAGGTGTGTGTTACTTTAAAGCACATGGTCAGGGCCAAGTTTATGGGAAGGTGATAACGGAGTACGACTCGGGGCGTTTCTTTGCAGTAAGAGCACTTCAGGGGGAACAGCAAGTATCCAGAGTCCCATTTCAAGTGATACTTTTATCAGCGACTTGGCATTGGTAGTTGCCTTTTGCTGCACACACTGGCCCCTTCAGCTGATGCAGCCTTGCAGGCACACTCCCCTTGATCACTCTGAACTTCCAGTATTTAGTGCAGAGCTTATGTTAGGTTCCCAACCACTGTTTGTAGATGACTCAAATCATAAAAATTCCAAAATGTTATGAAAGAAATCAAAGTATTGTGTAAGAATTTGATCCCAAGAATAAAGTTAAAAATCTTTAAATCTGGAGGATAACCGACCTAAAGCACAATGTTTCACCAAGACTTGTGGCTTAGTCACATTCTCTTAATTCCAAAAAATGTGATGTGCTAATTTAAACCCTCTGGGTAATGTGCAGCAAAATGACAAGCTCCTGAGGTGAAATTTGAATAGCACCACGTCAAAGTAACATTCCATGTCTGTAAGATTCTTGCGGGTTTTGAGAAACTTCAGTTGACAGAGCTACCAAAATAATGGTCCCTTCTTTTAGGATTTAACACATTCCCAATACTATCATAAACCATCCGACCCCTCCTTTCTTCAGGTTAGCATTTAAATATATTCTCCAGCGTTCCACAATGCTGGGGAGTGTGTATTTAAAGCACTTGTAATGACAAGCTCTTCAGCCAAGTGTTTTCTGTCAATGTTGGTAGAGCACCTGATGCTACTGTTCTTCACAACTTTTAAAACTCCTGCAATGATTACTTAGATTTAAAATTGGTAACATAGAGAACGAGAAAACTCCAACTTTGGAAATGCCATAATCAAACGAATCACAGATGAAGACAGCTCACCTGCTAAAAATGGTTCTGGCCTAGCCATTCTGTTCCCAACTCAGACCAACAGTGCTCACAGATTTCTGTTCCAGAATAGTCCAGATAACATATTAGTCATGGACACATGAACAACTTGACTACTAACAACTTGTCTACTGCAAGGAAGTCACAGTTTACCAAACAATTAACAATTGTGATGGTGTCATTGCTTTAGCCCTGAAAATGTGTAAAGGAAAAAAAGAAAAACCCAACTCATTAAAAAAGCTGGGAGTTTTCAATTATGTATTTTAACCAAGTATAAATAGTTCCAAGCATTAAATAATGTTTAAAAGACAAACTTTCTAATTTAAACGGAATTAACTATTTCCTATTATGAGCCAGGTACTCACTGAAGGCACGGAAGTTTTCTTGATTATTTCTTCTGTTTCCTGTCTTCATTGTCCCTAAATTTCAAAAGCAAGTTATCCAGTAATTAAGGCCTAACAACCTATTCAGTTTTCCCATCCTTTTGAAATAACCTTTGCACCAGCGTCCTACCAGTGGAAACTCCTCAGAAAAACTCTTCCCAATCAGCATTTCAAAATTAGTTTAAATGGGCCACTTTTCTACATACAGCAAATTAAACCACTTAACTACTGAAAAGGAGTGATTTCAAAGAAATAGTTGAGAACATCTGCAAAAGGCAATTGGTACAACCATACAAATAAATGAAAAAGACAACAATTCCACTTAAATGATGAAGACATTTTTATTTAATTTGTCCATACATTTCACTTTCATAAAGTCATTTATTTCACAGCGAATCTAAGCTTATCATATTAAATTTTAAAATATTACAATATTTACAAACTTGCTGGCATAAATACACGTACTGTGCTGTTTTCTTTTCAGTCCATGCCAGTGAAAATGGCAGGCCAGTCCTGTCTCCCTGGAGACCCTCGCTCGCTCTTGAGCACAGTCAGGAGCCCCCAGGGGAGCGCGCCTTACCCTAGACGTTCCGCTGTCATAGCTTCAGACCCTCAACATTCTTCTTCAGGTTCAGCAGCTCCTTTTCCTGCCTTCTTTTCTCCAGTTTGAAGGCTAATTTGTTAGCTTTCTTCTCTACTCTCCGTTCCTGCACGAGAATACATTCATGTTATTCAAATCTTCAAACTGATGCAGACTAATTTTACAAGAGAACATTCCCATGCCTTCCTGCCACCAGCTCTTTATAAATCTCTCGTCTGAGAAAAGTATTTTCTTACCTTGCGCTCTTCTTTTATCGCTTGCTTTCTTGCTCTTTTATCTTCTCTGCTTTCATTTTTAGAGCGTGGCTGCACTGACACTTTGGGCAGATCGCTGTCATTAATCATCTGCATGCGTTCAACTTGCTTTGCTGTGAATCCTTTCTTAGGTAAGACATTGAGAGGTATTCCTGTTTTAGAAGATATTTGGATTTGTTTGGGCTGAAATAAAGATAAAATGGCATTAGCCTTATTCCCCATTCCTATTAAAAAACAGCTCACTTATGACACATTATCGCTGTTTTTCCTAGTGGTGTTGGTAGTCACCAGAGATAAAGTCACTGTGAGGAAATAATCTGCATGCTTCCTGGCCTGCACGGCCTGTTTCAAACAGCTCAGGGCATCAGAACTTACCTTTGGTTCATACTTGATAAGCTGTGGATGGTTATATAAATTTGAGTATGTACCTAAAAAAAAAAAAGAAAAAAAAAATCCTGTATCAAGTAAGTGCACTTTCAAGCTCAGCAAAATAAGAGTTCCTACTGTATTCCCAGCTTTAGTGTTTTTAAAGTTCAAATTAACACTGAAGTCTGTTATAAAGTTTTATATTCTTTATAACTAAGAAATATTTTTCCAAATTATTTTCACAAAATATATATCCTTTCAAAAAGTGTATGTACTTATTAATACTTTAAAATTACTGTTAAACTTTTAGCAGTGAAATGGACCCTAAGATACTTACTACAAATGGATTCACAATCCCACTTCTCCTTGCCTTCTTCAAGAACTACAGTGACAATCTCTTCCTCCTCGGACCCATCAAGTTCATTCACTGGTAGGTCCTGATCCTCGAATGGTTCAAGAGTACTCAATTTCACACAACTTTGGCCAAGTTTTCAAAACCGAAGATAAGGGGGAAACAAAGAACGCCACCCATTATTATACTGTATGCTACTAAACCTGCACTTCAGAAACTATGGATGTAAACAGCATTTTTACAAATCCACATACTCAAGTGTCCTGTTTGTCATTTCCTGTCAAAATTAGCTTTATCTAGCCCTGCCTCTCCCTTCCAGCAGGTTCTGGACATTTACTCTGCTGACAGGAAGGGAAAAATATATCTGCATCTTTGCAATGATGTAACACATTAAACAAAATAGCTGCTTTCCTAAAACATAATCCTTTTTAAAGCCGTGAAAAGCATTAGCCCATCTGTCCCTCTTAAGTATTCAAATAACTCACTCAAAGTATGTAGCTCCTATCCTGCTGCAGAGCTGCATCATGATAGCTGCCACGCGATATCAGACTTTTCTCACACATGTGAACGTCCCATTAGTTTTTCTCAGAGAAATCACCAAATGTGGATGCTGATTCACCAAATACTTGGCTGGAAATTTCTACTAATCCAGCTGGACAGATAAACTCTTATCTTTCTATAAGCCATAAATCTCTACTTCTCAGAACGCCTGGCACATCAGAAAGATTAAGAGTATATATACTTAGAAGTCAAAGAATTCTTCAAAGAGACTAGAAACACCATCCCATTTTCAAGGGGAATGTGACCTTGGACATCCCACTCAAACTGTTTTCCATCTTTACTCTTAGGACAAGTTACAGGGAACGTGGTTCTCAGTATGTTCCCGCCCATCGTTACGTTCACCTTCAGAACTCTTAACATTAAAATGGAGCCAAAGGTTATGGAACATGTTCCATCTTCTTAATATGGAGTCTGACTGGGTGATATTCGATTCACATGTACAATTAGACTTTATTTGAAAATGAAAAAAGGAGGCAAACCAAGAAAAGTCACCGTACTTCTCTGCCTTCTCTTTATAGTAGTCGTTCAAAACTTCCTCTAAGCGATTGCTGTCAACTTGAATGGAACCTTCCAATTCAGCATTATCCAGAGCTCCAATTTCATCATCATCATATTGCTCATAAAACTTGAATATAAAGAGAAAAGATACCAAGATGAATGTATTCAGTAAGAATATAGCACTTAATGCTATTTTTTTACATTAATTTTATTCCTCCCATGAGATCACTACTACCATTAAAATATTAGCAGGGATTCGGCACCCTAAGAGTATGACGGGAGGACGTTCCACCGCCCCGCCCGCCCCCTGCCGGCACTTCGAGGCTGCAAACAGGATGCCGTGGAAGGTGACACTGGAGGAAGGCAGTCACTTCATTTTGCTTGGCGAGCAAAACCCCAGGCAGAAACCTTTACCTCAGAATAGTTTACAGATACTTTCGAATTCATTACTCATGCAAACTACTATACAAATTCACTTCTTTTAAGTTTAGATGATGTTTTCTGTATTATTCAAATGCTGGTCACACTGTCAGGCTTTGTAAGAGAGTAATAAGCAGAGGGTGATGTAACTCCTGAACTGAGGTTACTGCAGTAACAGTTTGCCTATTTCGTTGAGGAAGGATGGAAACCAGTACTAAGCGAAATGTAGTAAAGTTAGAATCTTTGTCTTAGGAAGCCATTTATTCATTCCTCCATCAATCATTTACTGAACAGTTCAAAGTTAAAACTCCGACCACATGTCAGATAATACTTGAGGCCTTGGGATATATTGGTGAGCAAAAACACACACATACAAAAAACTGAAAGAAATGGAATGTTGTTTATGCTCAGGCTAAGGCTTGAGGAAGTAGCATAATCTTGGGGATTGTGATTGAAGAGGTTTGGAATCAAAATGTCAGCATTCTAAGAGGAAAGTCAGGAGTTCTGATGAGCCATCTTCTGACCTATGTGCATTCGTTCCAAAATTAAAGGGGGTCTGTTTTAATAAAAGTTACAGACTGTTTCTGAAGCTGCAACGTTCTAGCTTTGGGTTCCAGTATCATATATTAAAAGCAGTAAAAGATCCTTAATTGGGGACCTTACCTTCTCAAATCTTTCGTCATGTAGGGTCAGCTGTTCATTTCTCCTCATGACTGAGGATGTCATAGAATAGTCAGTAAAGCGACTTTTCGTTTCCTCTTCCCAGAACAAGTGATTTTCTAGGGCCCCGAGAGGCGTTCCCGGGGCTGATGCAGCCTCATCCGACAACGAGCCTACGGAGTCACAGTCCCTGCCATCGCTGCCTCCTGCCTTCTCATCATACACGTCTTCCCACTCGCTGCCATCTTCAACCTCAGGTTTCCTAGAGTCAGAGTCATAAATGCTCTGTCAAAACAACTTGAAAAACAACAGAACCAAATGACTTTACACAAATAAAATTTGAGAGGTTTCAGGGAGGAGTCTTGTTTAGGTGGAACAGCTGTACTGCTTGACCAGTCTGGCATGACTGGAAATATAATGAACTAGCAATCAGGCATCTTAGACTTTAGCCCCACCTACTGATGGTTTGTAAAGAACTGTAGTCTCACACTGTCTGCTCTGAAATACAGAATTCTCAGACTCAAGTCCTGAGATCCTTTTCAAATGTAACATTCTATGGTTTCTATCCTATTAAACCAGCGGCAGTCAGGTTATCCTGCTTTGAAATAAACCACACATACTGTATATCCATTCCCTCTTCCTCTTCTGTTGGTTGATTAGCCTGAAGAATAAAATCATCTTCAAGCAGGTTATCTGGATTATCAAAGTCAAAATCATCATCAAGAGCTGCAACAATGTCAGGATCAAAATCCAGCCGAGGTCCTGCATAAGAAACAAAAATTAAGTTGTAATTCCTAAGAAATCATCAGTCCTTTAACTTAACATAATCTGAGTTCCTATAGTACACCAAAGCATAAAACAATGATTAAGAACTCTAAGAAATTCAGTCTACAGAGGGAAACAGAGATGGATGAATGCAAGAAAATAAAAAAGGGGAAAAAAACCCCTTCCATTACAGATCTACAATATTAAACTCTCTACCTAGCAAAATTCAAAGCATTGACCTGCAGGAAGAAACTGGACTTTAAATTCACCTGTTAGAAATAACGCTCATCTATAAGAAGTCACTCAACAATGTTTAGCCTATTGAACTTTGTCTTTTCAGACTGTGAGATTTTACTAAATTGCAACTTGTTTCTTCAGCTATGTTCTTCTATAAGTAAAACACTACAGAGTTCAAGAGAAAGCTCTGAGTTCAAACTTGTAAACTGACATGGCTTCCAGCACTCCTCAGAATGTGGCTACTGATTCTCCAGCCACATTTCACAGTAACCCTTACCCTTTATTTTAGGCACGCGACATGCGTGCATTACCTACATCCATGCTGTTTTACTTTTGCAGTTTCCTCTGCCCAGAGTGTCCTCTCTTCACCACCCCACCCTTTGTCTGTCTGCTTAACGTATACCTAAGAAATCACCTTAGAATGATTTCCTCTGGGATGCCTTGCCCAACACCCCAAGGCTTATTTGGTGTTCCACCATTTGTTCATTTGTATTGTAATCGTGATTTCACATTTATTGTCTACCTTTACCAACTGATGGCAAATTCGCTGTGGTCAGGGATTATGCTTTATATTGGTTTAACCCAAGACACTGTCAAATAGTGGCAACTCAAAAATCAGTAGGGTAGATTAATAAATTAATGCTACATGGCAAGTGTTGAGGGACTGAGTGAAAGATGGAGAGGGTCAGGGGGTGAAAAAGTACAAATCGGTAGTTACAGAATAGCTATGGGGATGCAAAGTACAGCCAAGGGAATATAATAGTATTGCAATCACTATGTATGGTGTCAGATAGGTACTAGATCTATCGGTGTAATCACTTAGTAAGTTATATAAGACCCAATCACTGGGTTATATACCTGAAACTAATATAATACTGTATGCCAACTGTAACTGAAAAATAAAAAATTAAAGTAAAAAAAAGCTCTCATCACAAGAAAAAAATTCCGTTAACTATGTGTGGTGGTGATGTTAACTAGACTTATTGTGGTAATCACTTCACAATATATACAAATATCAAATTATTATGTTGTATATCTGAAATTAGTGGAATGCTATTATGTCAACTGTATCTCAATAAAAATATTAATCATTGAAAAAAAATCAAGGCAATTTAGAAGAAAATACCAAACATCACTTCTGTGGACTTCTGTGCTTGTTCTAAAGTACAATGTTGGTATTACAAACCAACCAAGAAACATGGCAATTTTTCAGTGTATTTGGAATAGATGGGTAAATGGGACTTCTGTAAAATACTTCCATGCTCTTCGGAGAACTTTCAAAAGCTAACAAATTAAGTAGTTTCAAGATTATACTATATGTATGTAAGGGTAATTGAATATCACTGTTCCCTTTGTAAGAGGTTAGGCCAAGGTTAAAATTCCCCCACTAGATCACCAAAAATAATTTTCCCAGCTACATCTCCCAACTGGGACTTCAAAGCTAGGAATTTGATGGTAATGAAAGAAAAGAGCACTGATCACATGCATCCCTTCCTAATGATCTCTAATCTGAATTCAGACCATCTCACTTGTTTCAACACTATCAGGAACAGAAAAACTCTGTGTTACTATACAGTGGTGGGCAAAAGCAGGTTTACAGTTGCAATACAATAAGCAATACAATAATTGATAAATAAAAATGCAAGAATAACTGTTCCGCATACTGAGAACTATAAACCTACTTTTGCCCACCCATGTGTTTCTTTTTGTAAAACATGGCTCTATCCACCTGGAGGGGTAAAGAAATTATACACACCTGAAACAGGAGCTGCTTTATTTAACAATCCAACGTCTTCCTCAAACTCTGATGCAAACACTGAAGAAGGCAGCTTAATTCCGGTGCTCTTGACAAAGAAAGTACACAAATGGTTAGGTTTACTTAGCAATACCTCTGGACTACTATACAGTTCAAATGTGTTACTCCAAAGTTCATGCCTACCCAGAAGCTCAGAATGTGACCTTACTTGGAAACAGACTCCTTGCAGGTAAAATTAGTTAAGGCGAGGTGATAATGGAGTATGGTGAGCCCTAATCCAAAGACTGGCCTGTTCTTACAAGAAGGCTGTATGAACACGGAGACACACAGGGCAGGACGCCGTGTGAAGGAGGAGAAGACTAGAGTGATGCCGGCGCTTAGTTTCTGACTAGTCATTATGTTTTAATCCATCTTTTCGACCAAAAGGTTAATAACGGGAGGGTGACCACCGCATGTTTTCTGTCTCCAAGCACCTCACCATCTACTCAGTCCTGAGCTGAGCAGCAGCACGAGCTGAGACGCACGCGGTGCCTGGCTCGAGGTCGGCGCGCTGCACCGGGAGCCTCCGAGGAGCCCTGAGCACAGCTGCACACAGCAGCGCACACCTAGCGGGCTGGCATGGCTTCCACACTCAGTTTCTCTGTGGCAGAGATCTGGCCTTCTGCGCAGAGTACTTCTGTACAAGACCGACTTACTAGATATAATTCACATACCATGCAACCCACCCATTTAAAGTGCACAATTTAATGACTTTTGGCATATTACATTACTAATTTTTAAAAAGTGCAGCAAAATACATATGTGGTCTTTTAAAAAGATACTCTCTGTGATTATTTATTCCTGAAATTTAGGGGTTTCAAAAAAGGGAGGATCACCTTGTTTTTTAGTGAATTTACCTTTGGAGACTGTTTTCAAATCTTGAGAAACAGTCAAAGAACCATATCCATAATTAGAGTTTAGGTAGTGATTAAAAACAGGAGTGGAATTCTTTTTATTGGTTGCAGTGATTCCTACATACAGCGGTGGGCAAAAGGAGGTTAAATTACAGCCATTACCAGAAAGATAAATCGTAAGTAAGGACACAAAATAATAAGCCAAAACACTACAAGAATAAATCAACTTGAGAATAAACTGTTTCACGCACTCACAGCTGTAAGCCTCCTTTTGCCCGCCCCGCACAGGGAGTTTGCCCAGCTGCTTTCTACCGCAGCAGACATGTGAAAATCAGGGGTGGCTGACGCAGTACCGATCTTTTGTACTGCCTTTCTGCAATGCCTTACTTTCTGTTATTAGGGCTTCTTCAAGATTTCTAGTTTACTCAATTTTGGTGGCTGGTTACAAATTACTTTAAGGTTAAAAAGAGCACATGGGACTCATCTATTTTTTTACATTGTGCTACAGAAAATCAATGGCAATTTTGTTTTTAAACATGCACTTAACCTTGCAAACATTACTGAAGTGTCCATTTAAGAGCTTTACTCTATTAAAAAGCCAATTAGATGGTGGTTACTTTAATACAACATGAAATAGGGAATAAAAGCTAATCCTGTAGTTGTCAATAGAGTCATCCAGAATAATGTTGGAACTTTTCTCCATTAGACAGAGAACTTGAGCCACTACTGGACGCTCCCTCCTCACTCAGTGCTTTGTAGAAGGAAGTCAGTAAGTACCCTATTATTTATCCAACAGCCCTGGGGAAGAAGAAGGTAAGCTGGTTTACAGGTTTCTGGTTTAGCAGAAATGAATAAACTAGAAATCTTGAAGAAGTCCTAAGTTAGAACAGAAAGTACGGCACTGCAGAAAGGCAGTGCAAACACTGGTACTGCTTAAGCAGCCCTGGATTTGCACATGCAGGGTGTGCAGCCTTACGAGAGAGCCGTGACCTAAGGGGCGGGCGAACAGCTGCAGTTGTCCCCTCTTTCTTTGGGGTGCTGCCCTGAAATCTAATCCTTCGGACTCTTTAAGCAAGAGGCTACAGAATGAAGGAGCTATGATCACATCTCCCCTGAGGGAAAAAGTGCTCAGACCATGACAGAATTACAGAATGAGAAGGAAAAAAATTGGTGTCCCTCTCCCCTTTGAAAATCTCTTCTTTTTTTGTTAATACCTAATAAGGGGATTCTTCTTTTTAAAGTTCCGGTGATATAAAAGTTTCACAGAGAGATGTATGCTAATATGAAATAAAAACAAGCCAACAAAGCCATGCAATGAGGGTATCCTTAATGTAAATAGGAGGAAAAAAACTCAAATTGGTAGCACTAATTTCACATAAATATGTGCTCTCAATTGTATTTATTTTTTAAAAAAGAGTTTATTTGTTTATTTTTAGAGAGGGGAAGAGAGGGAGAGAAAAATCAATGTGTGGTCGCATTCTGCATACCCCCTGCTGGGGACCTGGCCTGCCACCCAGGCACGTGCCCTGACTAGGAATTGAACCAGCAACCCTTTGGTTCGCACACCAGCGTTCAATCCACTGAGCCACACCAGCTGGGGCTCAATTGCATTTAAAAGATAAACTATTAAAGTGCTATCTAACATCACCACACCCATCAAAAGTTCTAACCCTGTCAATAGCTGTCACTTTTAACTGCCACCAGGAAAGAGATGCCCTCCTATCTGCTGACTGCACATCTGTGTACACACACAGACACACACCACTTTCGGTGAGGGCATGGCCTGCCTTTGTGCTCTTCAGATTGACGCCATTTCTAGCCCCAAACAGTTTCGGTGACTTTAAAATGGCGTTTCCCCTCACTCACCCACGTCCCCACTCTCTCTCTCATGTAAATTGTTGAAAAGCCTTACTGAAATTATTGAAGTCTCTTCGTTTTCATTTCTCCTGTTGGGTACGCTGACGGTACTTGTGGGAATAAGCTCCGAGGGCCCAGATGGTTCCTTCAGGTGCTGCAGGTAGTCATAGTCATCATCAAAGAACACTCCATACTTCCTCTGTTCTGCTCGTCTCTCTTCATCATTTATCTAGAATAATAAACACAATGGAATAGTACCTCTTCCAGATTAAGGCACCGGAACCTTCTAATGGGCACAGCTTTCAGAACAGGAGATAGATACCACATGGACATTTTGGCTGATAGGAATGAGACAACGAAGTTTTGACAAATCCAGGAAGCAGAAAACTTGTTAACCAGTGTGCCACATAAAATTAAAATGTAATGAAACAATTCCTCCTTTCACTAGACATTTCTGTGCAACAATTCAAGCCAAGAAACATAAAAACACACAGCAACTTGTTTTATCATGTACTTAGATGATTAGGGAAAGAGTCTAGGAGTTCCTGAAAGATTAAGTACAATTTCTTGTACTTTTATATGCAGAGACACTTCTCAATGTACAACACAGACTTTACTTTAAAGCTGAACAGGCCCAATGTTCCCCAACACTTCTTTTTACATCACCCACACTTAACAAATACACTGACTGATAATCACTAAATCAACCTTTTAAAGGCTCCCTGGCATCTTCTAAAGCTAAAAGGAGTCCCAATGTTTTACGCTGCATGAGATGAGTGACAAGGAGGCAAAATACAGTTCATGGTTATGAAATGAAAGGATGTCAGGGAAAGCAGATAGTGAATACTTGGCTGGGCCCTAAGTAATATCATGCAGTATTGTAGCTGACAGCTTACTAAATATTTACCATTACTCTACAGGATTTGCTTATTGAAACATCTCAAATGAAGATGCTTTATCCTCTTAATAAAAATAAATATGCACAATGTAAAAACCAGCACATTTGCTAAAAATTAAGTCACAGACTTTGTTTCCCTGAAGATCAGTTATCTGAGAATAGCAGCTAGCTAAAAAATTACCAACAGCCCAACTACAAACTTACTGGCTAAAGATCAGCACCTACTTTCTGGGTAGGCAGCAGAACTCTCTGCGGTGCAGTCTCGTCTGCCGCCAAAGGATCTCGCTGGCTCCGATGGACCAGGTGAAAAGACACAGCTTTCTTCTTTTCTATAAAGGGCTTTTTCTTCCTGTGAGGCTTCAAAGGAGAGAATCAGAACAAGCCATTAAAACAGAACCAAAACACCAGTGAATAATAACCATAGGCCACATAGGCACCTTCAGTAAGTTATGTGAAGGATGAATAGATTTTTTTTTGAAACTTACACGTCTAGGGCAGGCAATATCAACTATGTTCTCTAAAATGTATACTTACCTTCCTCCAATAACCATTTATTGGCACCTACTCTGTAGGCAGACCTTGTTATGGGTGCTGGGGACCCAGCATTGGGAAGTCAGACAAGCCCCCATTCCTCTTTTGATAAGCAAATTACCAAGAAAAATGATTTCACATAAAGAAAATAAAACATGATGACATGCAGATGAAGAGTTACTTAAATTGGGTGCTCAGAGAAGGTCCCCGACAGGTCGGCCCAGAATGACAACGAGCCTGCCACAAGAAAATCTGGGGAAGGCAGCTGCAAGCAGGGTACACACTTCATGTCTTAACTAGTACGTGAAACGACAACACAACAGCTGAAGTTAATAAGACTCATCATTCATTTCTATATTTTTATTTCAGTACCCAACCTTGATTTTCTAAAATGAGAAAGCATCATCCCAGTTGAGTAAGTCGCCTTACTTTGGGCAGAACCTCCCTCTCCAAGTTCCCCTCCCCAGAGTAAACTGATGGACAGAAACCGCCCTCTCCGCCCGACCCCGTGAAATCACAGGGTGGTAGGTTTGTGTTCTATGTCACACAGGTTTTCGGACCCCTTGGGGTAAAGGGGAGGACGTTCTCTGATTTCCATTCCCCAGGAAGACTCTTGGCCATGGGAAACACGCTCTAAACTTCAAGGTATGACCGAGCTGGTGGCTATGACCCACACCCGGGCCCTGCGCCGCGAACCGCCTCCCTGCACCTTCGGACCAGCCCGCCCAGGCCCAGGGTGCAGGGACTACTGACACCAGAGACACCGGCTCAGCACACCCAGAGGGCCCCGCCCCCTAGGAAGCCGGGCTCGCTCACCATGTTGCAGCCGCACGGCGCTCACACCGAAGAGCAGCGACTACACTCTCCGAGTCCCTCGGGTGGTGACACGCTACCTCCGAGCTGCCGTCAAGGGCCAGCTCTCAGCGGCGTCTTCAGGCCTAAACACACGTGCAAGCCCAGGAACCGGACGGGAAGTCACGCAGCAGGCCGTGGACATGGGCCAATCGCCGAAGAGCTGAAGGGTCGTGGCCGGTAGTTACGTAGCGCGCCCTCCTCCCAAAGATCGCGAGAAGCTCTTGGGAGGTGGGCTAGTCCCACCCCTGGGGAGGCGGGGCTTTTCTGGCCCAGAAGTAAGGCTGAGATGGGGGAAAGAAATTGGAGGCGCCTCCTCGGCGGTGAGGTGCGAAAGGGGGTTTCTATTTTGGTGAGAACTTGGCTTTTATAGCGCCCTCTACCGAAAACAGAGGCGACGCATTCAGCATCTCCGTCCGTTGTATTCCTTGCCTATTTACCACCGTAAAAAACAGAACAATGAACCGTGTACACAGAAGGTGACTACCCTCTTGGGTATCCGAGTTTTCAGGTTCCCTCTTTGGGCTGGCGCGGAGTCTGTTGCCTTAGCAACAGAGGATCCCAGGGCCTTGCTCTTTTAGGCTGCCCCTGGCATCATGAGGTCTTTATTTTACACCGTTCATGAACTGCATTAAAACGTTCAGTTAATCAAACCCCCAAGACTGTTGACAGTAGAGGCATTTGAATTAATAAAATATATTTAGAATCTCTCGGGTATTTGCACACCTTCTCTTATAAAATGGAAGTAGTTATTGTCTTCCAAGCCCTTCCTCAAATGTTTTAACGTGGTTTAAGCAACAGGCTAGAAGCACGCCCCAGGAGGATTCAGGCAGGTACTGGGGTACTCTCGGAGCTTTTCCTGGGCAAAAGGGAGTGGTAATGCATTCGAAGCAGACCTCTTTTCAAATTGGTGTTTCCCCGTCTCAGTATATAGAGTCTTGCCAATGTCTGAGTTATCTTGGATTGTGTCTTTATGTCCTAACTATTACCATTATATTTATGGACAATTACTCTTCTACAATAAGAATTATAGAAACAATTTAGATTAGGGCCACAGAACTTGTCTTGAGAGAATGCTTTGTAATGGAAATAAATACATGACACACTTTCATGTACCAGACATTCATTACAATTAAGCTTCATGAGAGCAGGTTTAATTCTAATTTGACCTGTTTTTATTTACTACTTTTGTCTATTCTCAGGGCCTAGAATTGTGCCTGGCACATATACTCAATAAATACTATTTGTTTAAATGAAGTAACGTTCTAGTACTGTATCTGAATTATTTTGCTCCTTCCTTACTACAATGTTATGAGAGAGGTGCTATTATCTTCATTATTTTACAAATACTAAAACTCAGGCATAAGAAAGTTAAGTAACTTTCTCAAGGTCACACAGCTAGTCAGATGGCAGAGCAGGGATATAAACTCAAGTCTAAAGACTGGCCACTGAACTGCATTGCTTGATTTTTTTTTAAATAATAGTCTGTTACTTTATATATATTTTTATATATCTAATATTAATACTAAATACATTGTGCTATGCACTTTGTGTACGTGATGTCACTTAATTCCTTTGATAAGCCTGTAAAGTACAGTTAGTTAACACTTAAACTACCTTACAAATGTAGAGTCTGAGGTGCAGAGAATTGAAGTGACTTGCCTAAGATTACATAGTAAGTGAAAGAGCCTAAATGTGTAGCCCATCAGTCTGGGTCGGAAGAGCCACACTACCTTGCTAAGGCAGTCAGCCAGCAGTTCCTGTCCATTCTGCCTTCTGAATAACCAAATGTATCACGTTATTACTCTTTTAATCATATTTATCCTTTTTAATACTTGAATCCAGTTGTGCAATTTCTCTGTATAAAATTTTCAATGTCTATCCTCTGGCCTCAGGATAAAGTCCAAACTCTTTTGTATGGTAGCCAAGGCTGTATCATCAGATCTCTACTCATCACTTTAGCATCTTGTCCCCTTATGACCCTACATATGATAATGGGGTGCAAAGCGGGGGTCCCAGAATATAGGAGAAATTCCCCACAGCCCAGAGTTGGGGGAAGGGGGAGCAGATGATATGGCAGTTAAGATACTTTTTCTAACAATGACAAGTTGATAGCCGTGTCCTTCCTGAACGGAAGTGGACTGCTGCCTAGGGCAAAAGGAGCTTGTGGTTCTGAGAGTGTCTAGTGCCTCGTGACATAGCCAGGGGACATGACTGCCCACCCTGGATCTCTCTGTGTCATGGGGAAGTCTTGCCCTGACTAAAGATGGCAACCAAAAGAAGATAAAAGATATGGGGGAACTGACATAAGTAGCACATTATAGGAGGGGCCAGATAGGAGGTCATGTAGGAAGTTCCAAGCATTTTAAAGTAAGGGTGGGCTGAGAGAGGAGAGGCAGCCATGAGGAAGGAGGCATGAAGTAGGGAGATTTGGCCATGAGGTCTGAGAGAGGAAGCAGCAAGCAGCTGTGCAATTCATAGTGAAGCGGTCTGCCATGAGGGCTAGTGTGTAAGGTGGAAGCCATGCAGGCCTGGAGTGAGAATTCTGCCATGCGGCCTGGGGTAATGAGGAAGGCAGCCATGGGGGCTGAGGAAAGGGTATAAGTAGAGAGCTGATGAAGCTGTGCGGGAACCTGCCTAACCAAGCACAGATTCACAGGAGATGCTCTGAAACTGAACTGTGACCGGGAACGTAGACTTCTGCTTCTCTGAAGGTCATTTAGAGAAGCCACCCTGTTGGGACGTGTGCCTCCCTGGACTCCAACATGATCCAGTGTAACACAGCACATTTTACTGAAAAACTACATGGAGGCTGAGGACAATGTACCCCAGATCCTGAAGGAGCGAGCTGCTGTAAGAGGATGCTGATTTTGAAACCACAGGATATGAGGAACTTCTGGGCATGGTTTTGGCTTATAGTCTTGGGGGGGGGGGTAGCAAGGGAAGTCCTGGATCTCGTGGGAGAACAGGGCTCTGAGGAAGAGTCTTCTCAGCACCCCCAAGGTTGGGATCCTGTAAATAAAAACCTGTTTCCTTCAACACTGATTGCTGGGTTGCGTATCAAGATGACACGTGGATGGGCCCTGTTTGCTTGGTTACAGTACCACTCTATGACCCAGCCTATCAAACTCTTTGCAGTTCTGAAATGTACCTAAAAGAGATTGGCTTTCTCATGCTCATATAAAAGGCTCTTCCTCTTCACTCCCTGTTCAAGTGTTAGCTTAGTTATTTCTGCCACGAGGATACTTATACAGGCATACCTTGAAGATGCTGTGGATTTGTTCCAGACCACTTTAATAAAATGAATATTGTAATAAAGTGAGTTGTAATCATTTTGCTGGTGGAGTGTCTTGCCTTTGCTTTGTGAAAAACACAACACTTGTGAAGCACAGTAAAACAAAGTGCAACAAAGGGAGGTATGCCTGTATTCTTCAAAACTAGGGCCCATCTCAAATGTTTTCACTGTATCCCTTAATTACACTATTCTACTCAGTTACACTAAATTGTAAATCTTTAGAATTAGACTGCAGTAACCTAGGTGAGGGCAAGAATTTTTGTCTTGATAATTGTACTTCCCCAGGATAGAATATAGTAAGGACTCAATAACAATTACTCTGTTCAAAGCCCTTTACATACATTTACTCATTAAATTCCTACAGGAGGACTTAAGGAGACACACTATTATTATCCATTTATTTTACAGATTAGAGATTGAGGAACAGAAAGTCAAGTGACTTTTGCCCATGGCCATGAAGTCAAAATGTGAACTCAGGTGCAGCTAGAGAATCACAGCCTTTATCATTATAATACCCCATTTCAAAAAGCCAACACTTGTGGTGAGTTTACAGGTGTCTGAGACTGTTCTGGGCTCTCTCTCTCTCTTACCTCATTTAATATTTTGGTGAATGCAATATCTAGCACTGTGCATTCATTAAAATGGTTATACATAAAACTCTGGCTTGTTTCAACACAATGTTATTTCCTACCATTAAAATCACCTAGAACTGAACTATTGTAGATGACCTGGAACTGAAATATTATACCAATGATAATCTATACCATACTTCTACTCTCTTATTAGCATGTTCTAATTAATGGCATCTATTTCAACAGGGTTATGCACAATTTCTCGCTTGGTTAAGGCTTTGAAAATTTTCTTATTTTTTCCACATAAAATCAGCTTGCCTGTTGAGATTGTGCTTATCATCTTAGCCTCCATTACATCACATTCAGCGGGGGTTCTCCATCAGCATCATTCAAGGGTCCCAAAGCATCAGGAAACCAATGTACCCCACAGTGGAGAAAATTTGCTAGACCTTGAAGCACAGACTTTAGGAATTATAAATGACATGCTTGAAAATATTAATAGAGCTTATGGACGTACTTAGTTATAAAAAGGAGATATCTATCAAGATGGATGTACCAGGATCGTCGCTGTAGCACTATTTGTAATAGAGAAAAAAAAATTGAAATTTCATTAGTAAGGGATTAATTGAAAAAAACCCACAGTCACATTGCAGTCTATTGTGAAGCTGTTAGGAAAGAGGCAGATCAATATGAATAGCTACTTACTAAGTTGGGAGAAAAGCAGGTTGCAAAACGTCATAGTAGATGGCATTTTTTTGTTAAGAAAATAGGAAAACATTTTACACAGAAAAATCATAGTGCATGCCTAGACAAATACCTGACTATGTATCAAACTGCCCACAGCAATTATCCACAAGGAGCTGGGATTGCAGGAAAACTTCAATTTCTACTTAAGGTATTTCTTCATTTTTTACAAGTTTGTAATGACAATTTGAGTTACTGCATTTGTATATAAAACAGTGAAGATAAAAAACCAAATGGCAGGTTAGACACTAATATAATTTGCTTTAACAAATATTGTTAAAGGATATTTTAAAATGGTCAAATCATGATATGTGTATATATGTGCATATATACACACACATATATGCATGTGTGGAGAGAGAGAGAGAGAATGTTAAAGATTTTAAAACATCAAGAGGGGGGAACAGGCAAGATGTTTCAATTAGTTCAGAAGACAATCCGAAGAATAGAAACATTTATAGAGCAGGAATGTTGAAAAGAATGTGCAAATAGAGACAAACCTGGCTTCTTCCCTGGTGATCTAGGGAAGACAGTTGAAACTCCAC